TTTCTGCAGGGACCGCTTAACCCGGATAGAGGTAGTTCGCGGATTTTAGAGTTCACAACTGAAAGTGAAATGCACTCACTAGTCGTAACTTTGAAATGAACGAATGACCGACCACCCATCCAGTCCAGTGCAATGCGACGTTCGGTCGAAATTGCGACGTTTGAACAGGAACAAACCTCCGTTACAGCCTTGTCGCTCTTTCAGGACAGGATTGAGTCCAGATACCGGTTTCTAGGGTGCTGCCAGTTTATCTTTCGGGTAATTTACACTGCGCTGCTCAACGAATCTATAATATTGGGTTGATAAAATGTCCTTCTTTGTTGCTTCACGCTTTATAGTAAGAAGAGTAATATAATATTCTCGAGTGACATCTCTCTGTACATAAAACTCCATGAACGATGAAAGGGTGAAGTTTTCGCCGCATTTCGATCCCTTTTTGGGCACTTCCATTTCGAGTCGTAGTGGCTTATCGATGCGATGTGACCCTTACAATGACTTGCCTCTCAGACGAATCTGGCACAAATTTAACGTCCACAGAGTGTAGAAAGCCTGGTTGGCGTGAGCGGGAGACGATCCTGGTTTTGATTCGCCTTCATTTCATGGCCTCGGCCTCGGACAGTGCACGTGGTAAACGTGCCAGTGCACTACCTCCGCCTGAAACTCCTTAGCGTCATTACCATACTGCAATTTAAATACTGTGGTGGTAAATACGACAAAACATGAGGGAGGGCTCCTTGTTTGCAGAGACTGGCACGTGACGCCGCTCACCACGGGGGTGAGCTGGAGGTCGATTCCCGCTCGACCTCTGTCAAGTCCAAACTTCTCCATTCCGGGGACAGTGAACTGGTATCGAATCGGTCCCTAAGGATAAAGACAGTGACATGACTCTCGGTCGGCCCCTGAAATTCGATGTATAGGCGTCGAAGAAGTCTGACCATCCCGTAGGCGGTCGTCCAGGCGTTCGCTTGACATCCCGTGGAATCCAGTCGGTGATCGCTCTGGTCCAGCGGTCGTCCTCGAAACGCATGACGTGCCCGGCCCACCTGATCTTCGAAACCTTGGCAAATGCGGCGGCGTCTCTGATCTTCGATCGTCGGCGGAGTGCGGAGCTCCGGATTCCCTCTCTCACTTGCGTGTAGCGGGAAAG